CCGAGCCTCCTGCTGCACCCCAATGCCCTGCCCCATTGCAGAGCCCACCCCCCAAGCTAGAGATGCACCCCCACCCCAGGTTCTTCCCTATACTCAGTCCTTCTCAGACTGCATTTTTGGTGGGGGGGTTTTTTTTGGCCCTGTGCTAGCCAGGAATCTGAGCACCCCAGGCCTGGCTCACCCGAGCTCTCGCCCCAGCTCTGGGAGGAGAGTGAGGGCTAGTGGTCAGATCAAGGGGGCCTGGCCTCTTGGTTCCCTGCCTGGCTTTGGGAGGAGATAGGTACACACCCTCCGGCCCAGAGAGCACTAAGTCAGACGTGGGCACATCTGGAAGGAACTGATGTGAAAGGCGCAGCTGGGGGGTGGGGATACATGGAGACGCGCTGCCCCCTGCTGGTGGACACTGCACTACAGCAGGACTAACAGGAGACCCATTCAGGTCACTTCCGTGCTGAACGACCCAGGAGTGCCATGGAACCCTGAGATGCAGCCAGCTCTGGGGAGGGGCAGCTGGGAGCAATCTGTGCACACAGCAAGACACGTGCGCCAATCACAGGGGAATCAAACCTCTTGTACCGCAGGATATTTAGTGCTTTGTTTTTATACCCAAATACCAGTCAGGCCGCGTTTCTTGCTGTCGCCAAGGCCACTAGGAAACAGTGCTGCATGCTGGGTTCCACCCTCGGCTGTGGTAGGGCAGTAGGGCCTAGTGGGTAGAGAAGGGGGCTGACCCACTCCCTTGCTCTCTCAGCTGTTGGCGGCGAAGTGGTGTCGGACGAGGAGCTGGAGCAGTTGCTGGAAAGCGGGTTAACGGAGGTGTCCGTCTCGATCGTGAGTGCCAGGGAGAGCTGATACGGGGGGCAAGGGCAGGCCAGGCTGGGGTGTTGACCCCCGTCCCTTCTTCCACAGATAATGCAAGACACATAAGACCAAGCAGGCACTGAACAAGTTCGAAACCAGGCACGGCAAGATCCTCCAGCTGGCGCCAAACACCACTTCTGCATCGCTTTCCTGCCCCCGCACAACTTCCTGTTTCCAGCACTTCCATGGTCCTGCCTCTTCCCACTGGGATCCACTTCCTGCCTTGCCACCCTTCCTGCAATAGCTACTTCCTGTTTTGGAAAAATCAGCTTCCTGTGAGCCCCGCCTTTCACTCTCAGCTTCTCCTTCCTGTTATGGCGATGTCAACGTCTTTTTCGTCTGCTGCCCCTCCCCTCTGGCATCACCTTCCTGTCTCGGACAAATCGGCTCTGACAGCATCGGTGCCCTACTAGCTGTGCCCACTTCCTGTCTCACTTGGTGCCACTTCCTGTGCACCTCTTGCCATTTTTTCTCTCCATGCCAGGGGAGTCCATTCCCACTTCCTGTCTTATTTGGTGTCACTTCCTGTGTTCCTGCAACCCTTTCTGATGCCTCTCATTTGGGTGGGGGAATTCGTGCCTCATTGAGGGTATTGGGCATCTAGGGATCATTGTGTGCTGGGGAGGAGCCAGGGTAGATCCCTCCCAATTTCTCCCCACATAGTGCCCCACGGCAGCTTCACAGGAGGCTCCTCTAGGGGGCGCTTGCAGGAACCGAAGGTTAATCGGCAATTCCAGGTTGTGGTGATGGTGCTGCCAGGAACGCGTCCGAATTCGTGCCTCATTGAGGGTATTGGGCATCTAGGGATCATTGTGTGCTGGGGAGGAGCCAGGGTAGATCCCTCCCAATTTCTCCCCACATAGTGCCCCACGGCAGCTTCACAGGAGGCTCCTCTAGGGGGCGCTTGCAGGAACCGAAGGTTAATCGGCAATTCCAGGTTGTGGTGATGGTGCTGCCAGGAACGCGTCCGACCAAACCATCTGGCCTGCTTGGCTCGGTCTCGCTGTGGCTGCTCGGTGCAGGGCCGGGCTGCGTTTCTCCAGC